CTTTTCGACGGTCAGGAGAGCAAAAAGCTCTGTGACAACACGATGCGCACGCAAGAAGGTCAGATAAACAATAAGATGTTTACCGCGAGTACGGTCAGTGCTCTCGTCGCAGCTGATGCCGAGGTAGGGTGAGGCGAGAATGTATTGCATTTGTCGGCGCTGCACGTAGGTTGCGAGGATGCTGACGAGCTGACAGAAGCCATACCTGTAGAAGCAGAAGTGACAGCAGGGTGTTGGTTAGACCTTTATGAAAAATGAAGAACATGGTGTACTTCGAGTAAGTGCATTACCGTGTCAGGTAGACTCCGTAAGACTGTAGCGGAATGTCCGTTGTCTCCTGCTCGGCCATGAAGCGGAGTAGCCTCGGGTACATGCTGATGGGTGCATCACACTTGCACAGGAAGTCGACGCAGCGTAGGAGCCTCATGACACGCTTCCCCTCGATGTCAGTCGGCGCGTAATTCTCCATGCGTCTCTGGGTGCTGGCGATGTCTTCGGTGATCTCCATCTGACGCTTGACTGCTACTTCGTGGGCTGTCGTGTGTTCGTGGAACCGCATCGCTTGCGTCTGCAGGTCACGTGCCCCGTCGCGGCTGTTGGAGTACGGTGTTGTCTCTTTGCCGAAAGCCTTGCACACACTGCACTTCAAAGCAAGGTAACCGTCTTTCGTTTTCGTTAGCAGAAGCCAAGGGAAAAATGGAAGCCAGCTGGTCTTATACTTGTGCTCAGCCATGAGATACTTCTTTTTCGATGAGTTCCTTCTTTGAGAGATTCGGCGGCTCGGGTTCTGGAATACCAGGGGCCTGAGGTTCAGGCGACATGCGAGGCGGCGACCGTCGATGTAGCTTCCCGCCGAGGACTATCGTGCTCTGGGTGTACTTCCCGACGCGTGCTTTCTTCCCAGATGAAATCGTCGACGCACACTCGACCGTGTAACGCACGGTCGTGGCTGTCTCGCAGTCTGGAACCAAAGGGCCCCGGCTAGATGAGGCGACAGCGGGCGGAGGTACATAGGGAGCGGCGGGAGTAGATACGGGTTGTGATGGTGTAACGACTGCGGTGGGAGACCGCAAGATGTCTAGAGCGGATCTACGGACCTCCACGGGGGGGTCCCTACCTAGTCCAGAACCATCATCGGCAGTGGGAGACTCACCAGAGTCTCCTACATCCGCCATGGCTAGAAGCGGCGGATATGATGGAAATGAGAAATCGGAGCGACGAAACTAGAGGAGACAGAAGACTGGAGCATCTCATAGCTGTGACGTGAAGAACAGAAAAAAACTGGGTTGGAGGAGGAGCTGGTGAAGAAGACGGGAAGAGGACCAAGAAGCACCATCTTTCGATTTTCATGGATGGTGCATAACCCATCCAGGTTCCCGTATCGCCATGGCAATAACGTCAACGGCGAGACGCACCTGCGCTGGCATCGTCTGCACAGAGATGATTGGCGGGGTGATGTCATACAGAGGCTGACATTGCCGCGCTCATCATATTCTGTCCTCGTCTGCTGCGTGCTGAGTCACGAATGCCAGTTGACGGTTGCGAATGTTGCTGTAATGGCAACATACAGCGTGTTCACGGCGGGAATCTTGCCGAGTGCAGATTCCCCACGTGACGCATGCTGGGCGTGTTCAATGGACTGGGCCCCGTCACGCGTAAGGGGGCCATTTCGAGGAAACTCAGGGTCCGCATGGATGTCGCATTCAGGGTTCGTACGCGTTACTCCCTGAAAACTCAGTGTTGGGATAACGCAAACCCTGAAATTTTCAGTGTTCACAAACATACAACCCTGAAGAGGTTAGGGTAAAAAAAAACCCAACCCTGAAAATTAAGGGTTGGCCAAAAAAATACCCTGTGAAATCAGGGAATCAGGGTAAAATACCCTGATAACGACAGCCCTGCACTCAACCATCAAGAGGGACCCCCCTCTGCTATTTTGCCGTGGGGTTTTAACACGGCTTGGTTCAGATCTGGTCGAATGAGCCGTTGCCTAGTACCAAGCTGAGCGAGGCTGCTCCTGATGCACCATTCTGGGCTCTTGGTTGAGGTGAGGTCCTCCTCAGCACCCATTCCCACTTTTTGTACGAGCAGTGCAGTGACTGCCATCCTCATACACGTGCCTCCGGTACCTGTGTCCTCTTGCCCCCACTTCACATCACACGTTCCATAAAACGGCATACGGCGAACAAATGCATACATGATCACAAGTCACAGGCATCCTTCAGCCACCATTCCTCGCTAGCACTACCCCACGACTTTTCCGGTTCAGGTGGGAACTTGGTACTCAGAAACTCTCTTCCGGAGCATGAATTGCACGGGTGGAAACTGCACTGATTCCATCTGACCCTCCTCCTCCACCCAGTGCATTCAGCCGGCTTCTCACTAGACTGATGAAGAAACCCCCTCACAATGCAGCTCACCATCTGCTGCTCGCGCCAAGTAGCCCCTCAGAAGCCCTCTCATCATGCCGCCGTCCCATCAAGCCGATGCTGAGAACCCCCTCACAATGCTGCTGATCATCTGCTGCTTCTGACCAGCAGCCTCAAAGCAACCCTCCCATCCTGCCAACCCCTCATCCTGCCGACCTCCCATCAAGGCAATGCTGAGAACCCCCTCACAATGCTGCTGATCATCTGCTGCTTCTGCCCAAACGTCCACGATGGATTGTTCTGCAATGGAGGGGTCAAGCATGGGTGGGGCATCAGTGATCGTGGGCAGAAACGAACGAGCAAAGATGGATGTACGGACATCCAAATGCAATGCAACACACATGCACTGTACGGCTCTGCTGCTCATGCACCCTAAAGCCGCCTTTAGGAAACATAATGCTACAACCATACCACTAACAGTCACACCTTTTACACTCCACCCCCACATACAGTCACACCCACCTGCAGGGTGAGCAGTGCGCGTTTGGTGAACGCCACAGCCTGGGGTGACACGCCAGTCGGCAGCTTCTCAGCAGCTTCCTGCAGCACTTTGTTCTCCTGCAGCGCTGTCATCTGCTGCGGGCCCGCGTAGAGCGCGACAAGGGACTCGAGTTGATCGGCTCGAGACAGGCAGTCCTGCAGGGCGGCCTGAGGGGGGGAAGAGGGAAGAAGCAGAGAGCAACGTCATCTGCTGCGGGCCCGAGAGCGCCACGAGGGACTCGAGCTGATCCGCACGGGACAGGCAGTCCTGTAAAGCGGCCAGCGAGAGGGAGGGGTGAGGGAGGGGAGAGGGAGGGAGAGACGGAGCAGAGAGTCCTGTCATCTGCTGCGGGCCCGCGTAGAGCGCCGCCGCCAGAGACTCCAGCTGGTCGGCCCAGGACAGGCAGTCCTGTAAAGTGGCCTGGGAGAGGGGGAGTCAGGGGAGGGGGAGGGAGAGACAGACTGAATCAAGAATGACTGCTGACAGGCACACACGCCCCCTGCCTGTCTCTCCCCCCCCCATCCACACAGGCAAAACAAGCACTCACCTGGGTGGGACTCCTCTTGACTCTGCATGCCCGTCAGCACCATGAGCTCCCACCTGGGTGCCACCATCACCTCGTGCAGCCAAGGATGGCACTGCCAGGGTGGGGCCTCGTGCCCCTCCCGGCACACAATCACCCTCCCGGCACACAATCACCCTCCCGGCACACCCCATCTCTCTTTGCACGCACCTGAAACTCCTCCTCTGTCTGCATGCCCGCCAGCGCCATGAGCCACCGCACCACTGGTGCCCCTCCAGCCATGCTATGACCCCCATCGCCCTCTCACCCCCCTGAAACTCCTCCTCGCTCAGCATGCCCGCCAGCGCCATCAGCTCCCGCTTCGCCTCCACCATCACCTCCTGCAGCGACGGCACCTCAGGGGCCTCCTGCCCCTCCATCCTCACTCTGCCACTCTCACTCTCACATTCAGTATCACTAACAAGCAAAGAAGCACCCACCTGGAACTCCTCCTCCGTCTGCATGCCAGTGAGCGCCATGAGCTCCCTCTTCGCCTCCACCATCATCTCCTCTAGTGACGGCACCGCGGGGGCCTCCTGCCCCTCTAGCTCGAGCACGGGGTTGGAGGCGAAGTCGTCAGTCAGGTACTCGGGCTCAAAGTCCACCTGCCACGCGGGGAAGAAGGAAGAAGAGAGACAGGAATCCTCTTTACAAGACGTCTCACCACGAGACTGCAGCCCCCCCCTCTAGTTCGAAGACAGGGTTGGAGGCGCGGTCGCCAGTCAGGTACTCAGGCTCAAAGCCCTCCTGCGGGGAGAAAGGGGGGGAGTGGAGGAGAGAGAGGGGAGCTGGCCTGCGTGTGATAAGCTGTCACAGTACACAACAGCAGTCGCCTGCCGTTCCAGCGCGGCCATCACAAGATTAAAGGGATGGAGGCGAGGCGAGGACCGAACCGAGGTGACTTTTAACCGTGGTGACTCGTGGTTCGGCAGGCGGCTCAAAAGTCACAACGAGGACCGAACCACGCCGACCGGCATGGATGACCCACCCATAAACCCAAAACCCTTCAACCCAACAGCCCATAAACCCTTCAACCCAACAACCCACCAGCCCATAAACCCGCCATAAATCGCTGATGCAGAGCGGAGTTGGCAGCCTCAGTGGCCTCCAGGAGCGGTGTGCTCCGTTGCACCCCTGAGCACCCCTGAGCACCCCTGAGCACCACCTCCTCCATGCACCAAGCCTTGGTACCCAGCAACCCATGAAACCCATGAGCTCACAACCCCCCCTGCACCCACCATGAACCGCTGGTGCAGAGCGGAGTTGGCCACCTCAGCTGCTTCCAGGAAGTCAAGGAACTCGCCCACCTGGCGCTCCTCCTCACCGCTCAGCACCGCATCCTCTATGAACCGCTGCACCACGCCCTCCCTAGTAACGCCCTTGCCGCCCCGCGTGTCTCTCCTCCCCCCTCCCCCACCGCCCCGCGCCCGCTGCACCGCCTGCTGCCCGTCCGCCCCTCGGTCCATCACAAGGCCAAGCCCCATCCCCCCTCCCCTCTGCGCTCCCTCCCTCCCTCCCCTCCTCTGCTCTCCCTCCCTCGGGCCCCTCCGCTGCCCTCCTCTCCTCCCCTCCTCTCCGCCTCTCCTACCTTCGGAGCCTCCCGGACCTGCGCCTCCCGGGCCTGCCCCTCCCGGACCTGCGCCGAGCCTGCGGCGGGACATGACCGAGCCGAGAGCCTCGGTGGCGAACTGGCTGACGGCGTCGCGGCGGGACGAGGCTCGGGTGTGCTCCCGAGCCTTAGCCATAGACGCGGAGAGAATGCCCAGCGCACGCTCAGTGGCCTCCTCTCGGGATAAGGCCGGGGGAGGGGGGGTCTCTGGGGCGAATTCAGCCGCGCCCTTACCTGCCTCCTCCCCTCCCACTGCCGCCTGTCCTTCCTTCCTCTCGTCTCTCCCCCCTTCACCCCTTCCCCTTTCCATCTCCCTCTCCCTCTCCCTCTCGCCGCCCCTCCACTCCTCCACACGCCTATCCATCCTGCCCCCTCCTCTACCCGCACCTGCTGCCGGACCTCCCAGGCCCGGCCTTACCATACCTGCCCCGCGCCCTCCCTGCATCAGACTGCCTCGGCCCAAGCCTGACGCCGGAGCAGCAGCAGCGCCCGCGCCACTACCGCCAGCACCAGATGCATCTACTGCAATCCCTTCGGCCCCCCTCTCTTGCTGCTGCTGCTGCTGCTGCTGCTGCTGCTGGTCGGGAAGGGCCCGGAAGAAGCGGTGGAAGCGGCTCTCCTGGAGGGACCGTTTGAAGGGCACCTGCTCCCGCGCCTCCGACTTCGCAGCATCGTCAAGAGAGACCCCCACGTCAGCAGCTGCCACGTCAGCTGCAGCGGGAGCTACCGAGCTGGCAGATTCGGTGGATGCCCGAGGCTGCGAGCGAGGTGCGGGGCGGGATGGCACTGGCAGGGGAGGCTGCTGGGTGAAGGGAGGAGGGCGCGTGTGGAGGCGAGGGGAAGGGGGCGGTCGGGGGTGTGGGGGGGTGTGAATGCCGCGGTTGGGGGAGTGTAAGGTGGGGGCGGGGGAGTAAAGGGCGGAGGTGGGGGAGATGAGGTAGCCGCAGCAGCAGCAGGGGGTGGGGGGAGTGGAGCATCAGCAGCATCAGCAGCAGCAGCAGGAGGGGCGGCAGCATCAATGGGCGCAGCAGTGGGAGAAGCTGTCTCTGACGCAGACGCTGGCTGCGACGCAGCAAGGGCAGCTTCAGAGTCAGAGTCGGCGCCAGCAGCCTTTCGTCGGAGCTTCATCCTCACGCGCATCTCCTCTCTCTCCCTCGCACTCAGCTGCTCACTGCTGCTGCCGCCACCCATGCTGCCACCCATGCCACCTGCACCGCTGTCACCGCCCGTGCCGCCAGCGGTTGCAACAACAGCAGGGGGCGGGAGAGGCGCTGGGGGAGCAGCGGCGGGGGGGGGAGGAGCTATAGTGGCGTCAGCAGCAGCGCCAGCAGCAGCAGCGGCCCTAGAGGCGTGGTTCGCCGCATCTTCCATCCTCTCGATATCGCCCACCTCAGCATACATCTCAACCAGCCCGTTCCACGTCGGCGCAGATAAGAAAAACCCCGCCGCCCGCGCCTCGCCCACCATCCGATCCACCTCATCCAAGTCCCGCCTGCGCGCGACGCTCCGAATCGCCGCCTCGCGCGCGGCGCTGTCCAATGGGACGCCGCCAGCTCGCGAGTCGGCGAGGACGCGTGCCACGTCAGCATCCCTCCCTGCGCGCTCGTACGCGACGAGCATGCGGGATAGCGCGGCGGGGGACAGGCCTATGGGGGTGCCGCCCGCGGGGGAGCGGGGGGAGGCGAGGGAGGGGGAGGGGTAGGAGGGGGAGCGCCAACTGCGTCCTGCGCCTCGAGTTGCTGCTGCGGGGGAGAATGGGCGGGGAAAGCCGCGGAGGGCCGACTGATCGGCGCGCCCGGGGGAAACCGACCCGGGCCGGGGATCCCGGGCGCGCCTGGTGCCCCCACGACCGCGCGTAGCCGGGGGCAGAAGGGGCTCCGCCAACTCCCCTTCCCGCGCTGCCTCTCCCCCTCCCCCACATGCCCCCGCCTCTCCTCCGCCTCTCCCGCGACCTGGGAAGCCGCGCCCGGCGGCACCCCCACCCAAGCCACCGTCGCCGTCGCTGCCGCCGCCATTTCCGCCACCGCTACCCGCGGCGCCACTGGGGGGTAAGGCGGCGCTGGTAAAAGCTGCGGAGGGCGGTTCGGAAACGGAGCGGTGGGTGAGGGAAAGAGGAAGAGCGAAAGGATTGGCAGGGCTGCTGACGAACCGCGGAGATGGCGTCGTGAAGACCGGCTGGCCGATCTGACGGCGGAGATGCGGCTCGAGCCGCACAATGCAGCGCCTCATGGTGAATGGGCAAAGCTGGTTCGGATACGGCGGATCGGATAAAATCGGGGGTCAAGGGAGCGTGGGGAGAAGAGCGCGTGAGGACGGAGCGGTACGGCAGAGAGACGGGGGGGTAAGGTGCCCCCTCGCCGGTGGATGCGGAGAGAAGTGGGATGGGATGGTGTGAGGTGGATGGAAAGCGTAAGAAGCTGCGAGAAGCGAGGAGGACACGGATATACGCGCTACAAACAGCTTGTACCCTCGATGATAGCACGATTTGGGTGAAAGTACAGCAATAACCCAACTTCACAATAATCAGCACTGAACCGCCTTCCTTTCCATCAGGGCTGATTTTATCAGACTATTTACTCTGATTAGTCTGAAATCTCATACCTGTTTTTTTGCCAAACCTGAATTTCCAGATGTTGGAAATATCTCAAAGGACTTGAGCGTTTCTGAAGTGTAACACTGCACTCGAGGAAGATCACAACGGGTACGCGAGTCAACGGAGGTTACGAGGGGGCGGACAAAGAACGCGAAGGGACTCGAAGGGTCGCAACTGGAAGTTGCGACTGACCGTTACAACAGCGCGGATGGTAACCGAAGCGACAACCAAGTCGCTGTGCGACTCGATAACCGCTCCTGCAACTGTATTCTACAACTGCTTTACTTTCCTATTTTCTATATATTGCTGTATGCTTGTTTCTTTAATCAATCACTTGTTCTCATATACTAGTACAAGGGTTCAACTACTCAACTTCCGCTGCACTACAGTCTCATTTTACAACTGGGACTCAGTCTCTGGAAAGATCCTAAGGGCTTTTCTCAGCCCAACATGGTATGAGAGCTGGTCAGAGACCAAACTCCCAGCAACGACACTCTATCTACAATCTGCAATTCAACGACTTCATTAATTACAAACCATGGACAGCAAGGGCAAGAAGACCTCTACGGGCTCACCCAGCACCCAAGACATTCAACCCGGCAACTCTGGATTGCATACTTCAGGGCTGCAAACCGAGACCGGCGCTGCTCAAGAAACAACAGGAAGAGCACCGGAAATGGTGACCCCATCACCCTCTTCAAGCGTGGATCCGAACCTTATGGAAAGGTTCTTCAGCTTCATGTCGCACTTCGACCAGTAGCAGCAGACAAGGACACCTGCGCATTCAACACAGAGCAACGGAGGAAACATGGGATTAGCGCCGATGAGCCTCAACAATTCATCGTTCGGGCGACACAATCAAGCGCCTACCTTTGCGCCTTATCACTCTTCACCGGGGACGTTCGAGTTCATGCCGCCCCGTGCCCAACCAACGGCAGCTGCATCACAACAAACACCAAACGAGATTTTAAGTCTCCAGGCGCAGTTTTCACACGTGATTAAACTGCAGACATCATCACCATTCAACGGACACGATTTCTTTACCTGGAGTTTTGAGTTCGAGCTGCTGATGGAGGCTGCGCATCTCCTGGGATACTTCAATGGGTCCCTGCCATTCCCAAGCAACGGCACTGCTAAGGAACAGGAAATCTTCACTTATCAGTCGCTGCTGGCGTACACAGTTCTCCTGCGGAACCTGTCACCACAAGAACAGCAGAGCATCAGAACATATCGGAGCTATGGAAACTCCGCGGAACTCGCATGGCATCATCTCAAGTGTCTCTATCAAGCAAACGACAGCGTGACACAAAGCAGACTCATGCAACAACTGACAACAATACAGATGAAGACAGGGGAAAAGGCGATGTAGTATATGAGTCGCTGCCAGACCCTCCGCGACCGCCTGCTTCAGTGCGGAGGAACAATCACTGAGGAAAGCTTTGTGACGCTTGTCCTCGCCGGGCTCGGACCAGAATGGAGAACCACACGCTCGCTTCTTCGCGCCACGGAAGAATCTCGGAGATGCACCTCTACGCCGAGCTTCACGCTGAACAACAGGAGATGGACCTGTTCGAAGAACGACAACCAAGGAAGCAGCAGCAGTTAGTTTTCTACACTCAATGAAGGAACGACAACAACTACAATCGACGTGGCAAGCAAGATCAACGCGACAACAGAGGACTCACCTTCGTGCCGCCGTTCTGCCACAACTGTCAGACTTCTGGACATTCCAAGTCAACTCCACACGTCCTCGTGTTTATCGTCCAGTAGACCCACACGGCGCCTCCACTCAAGAAAGCCCTCCAAGGCACTCTTCCACATCTGCACAAGGGACACCGAACATCATTAACTGCATGGTACACATCGACAACTGCGCATCCGGATCACCACCCACTTACGCACCAGACGAAGAAGAACTTCCGCCGCCGCGCTCACAAGGACTTCAGGTCAACCCGACATACGCTGCGGTCGCCAACGCCGAACCCACCGGGCGAAACACCTGGTTCTTGGACAGCTGCTGCGGTCAACACATGTGTTCTTCCGGACGCTTCGTGCAACGAGAGCGACGCCTCAACCGCGACGTCATCATCACCGTCGCCAACAACGAAAACCTGAAAACAAACAGACAAGGAGTGGTTCAATTACAATCCATGGAGACGAACGTCATACTTCAACTCAACAAGGTCCTCATCGTCGACAACTTGGGATACAACTTACTAAGCGTAAGCCAGCTAATGGCAAAAGGGATTCACCTGGAGTGCGACTCCTACTCCAACGAGTTTCACCTTTACCACGGAAAGGGCGGTCTCTTCATCGGTCGTGCTCTCCTGAAGTCCGGCGTCTTCGTGTTAGACTTCGTCCCCGACCGCGGTACTGCCGACAGCGACGGAATCGTGTCGTTCGCCGCCTGGACACACCCGCCGGATCTTGACCCCGACTTTGACCCAGATGGATTCTGGCACTCCAACACCATACCTGCAGCAGAGAGAACACGAGCATTAGCAGTCATCAGACAAGAAAGACAAGTACCAGCAAGTGTCCCTTCCCAACCATCACCGGCAGTAGCAGCAGCAAGATCCAGCGAGTACCACCACCAGCGATCCGAGGATCGCCAACCGAAGCAGATCAACTTATGCCCATCACACGAGAAGTCTGTCGAAGTCCCGCCACAGTCGTCGCGTTCTTCTCCAACACCGACATATACCATCGTTCGCCCGGCCATCGCGCTCCCGACGACATCTAGCACCAACGACTCGGGCACCCTACAAACAGTACAATACTGCAAACCATCCAAGCCGAAGTGTTAGAACGCAACGCTCTCCTAACAACGAGCGACCAAGAACTTCGACGACCACGCGCACGGTGCTTTACGTGCCCCGAAGCCGATCTTCCTCACCAGCCTTTCCCATCTCATCACAACCCAAGCGCACCTGCATACGCACCGATGGAAAAAGTCTACAGCGACATTTTTAAACATGCCTCGAGAAGACACTGAAGCCGACTTCAACTATGTCATCACGTTTATCGACGCAGCAACAAGATACGTCTGGCACTACAACCTCAAGATGCGCGACCAAGCCTTCGACGCCTTCACGACATGGCTACCCATCGCCGAACGAGAATCAGGAACCAAGCTCAAGAGCTTCCAGTCAGACGGTGCACTGGAATACCAGTCACAACGCTTCAGGACCTATCTGGCGGAAAGAGGAATCAAGATGCCTGGTGTCTCTGCCCTACGCTCACCAGCAGCAGGGGGTCGCAGAACGCATTGAACCGGACCTTGCAGACGACGATGCGAAAGTTGCTCCTGGGGATGAGACTGCCCACCACACTGTGGCCAGACGCGATGACACATGCAGTCCACCTGCACAACCTGCTGTCCTCGTCATCGCTTCCCAACAACGCATCACCGCACCTGCTGTGGACGAAAAAGGGGCAGCACAAAATTACTCGAGTTTTCGGCTGCATGGTACAGTACAGACCCACACAGCCCGAGCAGGACGCTTCACTCAACGAGCTCGGTGGGGACTACACCTCGGCATCGCAAAACATTTTCACGCATGGAAAATCCTCGACATACAAGACAAAAATACGTGGCATCACGTGATGTTATCTTCTACGAGCGACTGACGCTGCAGCATTACCTGGACAACATTGCCAACACACACGACCCCACCGACGGCTTCGCGGGCCTTCGTTCCTTCGCCGACCGTGCTGCCGAGGCTGACGCAGCAGAAGAAGACGTACCTGGAGCCTCGGAAGCTGCCGGACCACTCCCTTTCTGTTCCGTACCTGTTCCACTCGACGAAGACAATCCTCTCGATAGCAACAACCTCGACACCTTTTACCACTTCGCTGACCAAGGTTACACTACACCCCACCCGTCGACACAAATGTTTCAGAACGCATCGGCCCAACTTCTTACCTGATCCAGAAGACGGTGACGAAGCAGCTATTCCGGGAATGAAAATTCCCCTCGACACACACCCACGGGACTGCAGATCTCGGCTCTATGGGTCTCCGTCCAGCATCCCCGCCATCTCCGCGCGAGCCTCGACTCTGTCGCAGGCTCTGGGGGGGAACATAAGGCGAAATGGAAGGAGCGATGGAAAAGGGTTAAAGCTCTGCAAGACCGAAAACATGGAAGCTGGTACCTGCAACAAGCATCAACGGGAAGAACGTCCTCTCGGGAAATGGGTGTACCGCATCAAGACCAACGCGGACGGCTCCATCGAACGATTCAAAGCTCGATGGGTCGTACGAGGCTTCGATCAACGATACGGAACCGACTACACAGAAACCTTCGCCCCAGTCTCCCGTCACACCTCCTGCGCATCCTACTCGCCGTCGCGGCCACGAAGAAACTACCACTCGCCAAATCGACGTCGCAAACGCTTCCTGTACGCACCTGTGGACGCTGAGATCTTCGTCGAGCAACCCCACGGATTCATCGACGACCCACGAAAGTATGCCACTGATAAAATCCCTACGGGATCAAGCAAGCCCCGCGGCTCTGGCAGCAGCATCTTCACGGCCGCCTCGTCAAAAATCGGCTTCCTACAGTGCCGCACGACCAAGGCATGTACCGACTGCAGAAGGGAAGAAGATTTATCCTTCTCATCGTCTACGTCGACGACCTGCTCTACATCGGCTCCTACCGACATCGCCACCTGGTTCGAAGGGGAGCTGAGAAGACTGACACTCACGGGTGTCCGAACAGTGACCCAGTACCTGGACTGAATGTCGTCGAAGACAACTCGGCGTTCTACCTACACGCTGGAAAGTACGCAGGCACTGTCGC